CACAGTCAAGGCTCCCATATGCTGCCAGCAACTGTTAGCAGCAAAGTGAGCTTTTGACTTGGAGAGGTGTTAGAGGATAGCTTGGCATACCTGGTTATTTCTGCCAAAATGCTGAGTAATAAAAATCACTTACCACTGCTGAAATGGAAATTGCCTTCTTAAGGTTTCAGCATCTCATCATTTGAATGGCTGGATTTCACACCTCTACTGGTTACTCTCATGTAAGGCCACCTACAGACTCAGGAGAAAACCATTTAATACTTCAGCTCACATCCTCTAATTATTTTTCCTACTTACCTAATGGTACCTTTTTCAAATTAAACAATTAAAGGAAGTTTTATTAATTATGTATTTAGCGTATACATATGTGGGAATGTAATGCTTTCACAGTGAAAGAGCATGTCTTCTTTTCACTTCGGTTTGATCTTATTCAGCAAGAGAAGTCTGAAATTCTTAAAACTGATCATTAATCTGCCCTATGGCATTTAACAGATATCATGTAAGGTATAATTTTTGGCTTTAACCCATTACATAGATTTTGCTAATACCGCCTGGTTATTCAAGGATAAAACGACTTTGTTTTGCTGTCTTTAACTTGGATCTTACTCAACTATAATGCAAAAATGCCTCTTGTTCTAACTGTGACCCAATGAAACTTGATGGAAAAGTCAACATGTTCTTCAAAGATTAACAGTGTGCTTTTAAATTCTTCAAAGTGTCTATTAGGAAGAACCATGGAATTTTAAAACAATTTAGACTACAATTACAAAATAAAAAATAACATTTACTTAGTTGACCACAGTTAATATTGGAAGAAGGAAAAAAAAAAAAAGAAAGCCCAAAAGAGATGGAAACATATCCTCCCACTCAGAGCACCATGAGAACACAACATTGCTTTGTACATCCAAGCTGCAACACCAGCCCCAGAAGTATCACTGGGAAGAAATGTAGCACCAGCTTTTGAAGTGAGGTAAATCCTCCCAAGGAACTAAAGTAAGAATATTAGCATACTAGCAGAAATACTCTCTGAACCTAATTACCAAAGCTTAAAAAGGAGAGAGAAGGAAACTGTCCTCAGGCCATATTGCAATTGAGACTCTAGTGAGATCCTTGGAAGATGCTATATATGGGAAGTATCTCTATCTCTTTTAGACTATACATGTGACCTAGGCCTGTCAGAGAAAGGACATTATCATACAACTGGTAAATAGCAAGTCAGATGCTTGAAAACTTCAGAACCATGTGCAAGAACTTGGACCAAACAGGGGGAGAGGGAAAAAAAAAAAAAAAAGTACTAATGGAAGTATCTTGAAAAGTTCAGGGAATAGAATAACCAAGTAGAAAAATTAAGTAAGAGTCCTTCCACAGAACAGCTTCCAAATGTGAATACATATTTATATTAAAGAAGCGTGAGTGGGCACTTGCGAGGCATGGAAAAAGCTGAGATCTAAAAGCCTGTGGGGGCCCGACAGGGCTCAGTAGGCAAGTGGAAACAACTGGACCGCTCTAGGCTCAAACGTGCCGAGCTCCTGCCTGGCCTCCAAAGCCAGGGGGCTCGATGGGCCCGTGCCGTGCTCCGCGGCCCTCGCTAACAGGCCAGCACTGAGGTAGCCTCTTGAAGCTGTTTACACAAGGAAACCATCACTGCTGCTTTTAATATCTCCTTGCCCGAGGCAATCACCTGCTTGGCCCAGCACGTATGCTGCAGAATAGGCCCTGGCAGCAAAAAACGGTGGGGCAGGCGGTCCTGGTGCCGCAGAAACGATGAGAGGAGAAAGAGCAGCTGCAGAAACCTGCCCGGGGCTCTCCGGCTTACAGGGCTTTAAAAGAGTGTTTGCAGCCCTGATGGTTACGGGCAGACGCTTTCCCACACAAAGCCATTAGAAAATGGTGCGTCCGTGTCTGGTCCTGAGCCCTGAAACAGCTTTTTCTGTATCAAGATTAAAGGAAAACTAGGCAGCTGGGGTTAATAAGCTGCAAATCAATGCCATTACCAGTGAGAGGAAAAGAGAAAAAAGAGCCCAAGTGCTGCAGAAACAGAAACTTTCAGCTCTGCCTCTTGCTCTGTGGAAAAGTACTGTGCAGTTGTCATAGTTCTGCTTGGATTTGGCCTTGGATTTAGGGAGATAAAAAATATGGATAATGTCTGAACTGCTTGCTTATTAAAAATGCATATAGCTCTTATACATGCAGCTGCATATATGCACATGCACACGTGTGTCTTTCTGTTGACTAGCTGGAGCTTTGGATAAGATCTTGCATGATATTTTTAGGATTTGAGAGGAGGCACAGCCAGGATTAGTAGGGATATGAAATTTAATTCCACCCTCTATGACCTGCTCCAGTGTTTGTCATGACAGTACAGACCCTCTTCCCTGTCTCGTCCCACTTTCTCAGGATTTCAGAGCTAATGGCTACAGATTATTCAATTTAACAGTAGTCAGGAACATTCCCGTGCACTTTCCTGAGGTCAGTTTTTCTCGGGCCTTTTTGGACAGCTCTTGGCATGTGCTTTCAGCCTGTGTCAGTTACCTCTGTCCCAGGAAACCCACAGTTACAGCTCGGGTGTTAGGACCGAGGCAATCTGTGTGCAGCAACTCTGCTTCACTAGCAAGTCCATTTGCTTCAATGACAGAAATGTTTCCAGATACTCTCAATTTACTCATATAGACGCAGCCAATTAGTTCATAGAATTAGAGATCTCACATCATTATCACCAGCTGAATGTTGAGCTGTTTCATGCACTCGTGATTGATGGATAGAGGTCAGAAGCAGCAGCCACCTAATGAACCTGCTCAGCTGGACATGAGGACCGGCACAGGCAAGAACCCAGGTTTTTCAAGACAAGGCAACATCTCAGTTTCTCCTAAACCGACAGTTTACAAAACACAAATCCTACATCACATCAAAAAACAAGTCCAAAAGGAATACAAGATTATAAAGGAGTCCTCTTAAGCAAAGAAGTAACAACTCAGACGAAACATGCATCTACACTTAGCAACCTCTTATTTCAGTTATAGTTTTACACACTAATTTCTATACACAACACATTCTGCCTTTGTAACTTCATCTTAACATGTGAAAAGGGACTGTCTCATTTTTCTGAGCAATATTAACTTATATTCTCATTTTAATTTCTTTAACATTATTCATTTCTTTAACAGTATTAATTTAGACTGCCATATTTTAATTTTTCCTTTTACTCCCTTGCTCTTTTCTAATTACAGAACTGCTTCTTTGGAAAATTAACAGTGAGTTATTATTAGCCATGTTCATTTGGATTCAGTAGAAAATAATTTTCTCTTTTAATATATTTCTTTTCTTTGTAAGAGCAATACTGATTTATACATCAGACAGGATAGGTGTATTTCTATGCATAGATTTTCACTGCTGCTAATGAGGAAGATTTTTCTTTTTCTTTTTCAATAAGGAAAAATCACCTGGACTGTGCTGGTTTATGCATATTTCACACTTAAGTCCTACTGAGAAGAAACAAGCTTCAGAGATACAGGAGCATTAGGAAGCTGACAGGTTGTAGAACAGTGTATTCTGGAAACTCAAAAAAAAAAAAATCAGAACCCAAAATTTTATTCATAAAATATTGAGAGTAATTTTTGATAGAATGATGGAGGGTAAGGGGGAATTGCACTCAGAGAAAACCACAGCTGCAGACTATCAGCAAAGGCTGCAGAAGTGTAGAAAACCCGTATAGGCTCCATAAGTGTAGAAAATGCCATGATTTCTCAATTATCTTAGTAAGCAGAGCATGTCGCTAGGACGACAGATTGACTCAGCATCAGCTGGAAAATTACTCCCCTAGTGAGTGACTGTGAGACCGAAGAGGAAGGACAGGGAAGTCTGCGAGGAAACACTCTCAAAAAGAGGTGAGAAAAAATTGCGAGTACAAAGCCCTGTGCGGTTTCAGAGCCAGAGGAAGTAGCACTGGATCCAAACCCATTTTAATGGGTTCTATTAACGTAGAAATTTTATTTTGCTAGTCTTCCACTTATGAGCTGGATGTCTTGCTTTAGACAAATCCCTCCTCTCAGCGGCTTTAGCTTCCCCTTCTTGCCTAGGATATGCAGGAAATTTGTTCAGTGTTTATCTAATGCTAAAGAACCATTTTTCCCAGTTAGAAATATTCATTTATTCCCACAGGTAGGAAACTCTAATTCTTACAAAAACTCCAAAGATCTATCACAAGATTATCTTATTTCAAAGAGTCCTCAGCAAACACATCCACAATAAGGACACTACTAGTAACTGCAAGAATGAAGCCATTCTACTAAGGGAATATTAGTGGATAATTCCCTTTCTGTTTAGGGTTCTAGGAAAAAAATGTTATTTTCTTCATTTTCTTCTTCTCCTTTCACAGGGGAACGTAAGGAGTAGCATTAAGGATGCTGGTACTAACCCGGGGCTCTGCAGGGCTGGACGCAATGGGACTCACGGCGAGTTTGGCCGCTCCCCACGCGGCAGGTCCAGCTTTCCCTGCTCTCCCACTGCCTCCCGAGGAGCCCTGACACACGGGCTGCAGGGCACAACACCAACACAGCTCCATCATCCCTTTATATCGGGTATTCGGTGGGTCTTCCCATGCATTGTAAAAGATGAAAAGTATTTAATTTGGCTATCTACACCCAAATCAACCAACTCAATCCAGGGCTTGCCCAAGTAAGGGAAAAGCCTTTAATGTGGTTTTGGCTCACTTTCTAAATATGGTTTGAATGCTTTCTGGCTATTTCCAGAAACAAAAACTTCACTATAAATCACCAGTGCATATTATCTGTTCAGCTTCATAACAGTGTATGTATTTCCTTAATATAATTGTTAATAAAATCTACTCTGCCTTATTATAAAAGCTAGCTCTGAATTTTATCCTTGGAATCTTTTAGAAATAGGCTAGGAGCATAAATCATCATCTTTCACTTATTTTATTCCCTTCACATTATTAATTAATGGAACAAATACATTGCCATACTTAGAATACACAGTCAAACTGTGATTTTAATATACTTTATTGAAAAAAAGTACACAGTTTTAAATTATTTTCAATGGGGCAAAGCAATGGTCACCTCTGTCTACCTACCAAGTCCTTGTCTTATGAATCATGACCACCAAATGCCAAATTAACATCTGCATGACTTGCAAAGTAAAAAGATAAATCTTTTTTTTCAACATGTCTTTAAGAATTTACATCACCAACAGTTTAAAATCATGAAATGCTGATGCTCTGACTATATTTCATGTCCTTAATGTTGCACCATTTCCCAGGTCACAGTTTATCCATGTATTAGCATGCCAATTTTACACATCAGTCAACGTCACCTTGAGAGAATTGTCAAAAACAGAGGAAGAAGAACAAGAGGACGTTTAGCACTAAGGCCTAGGACACCACCACATTCTCTTGCATTTTCCTAAAGACAAAAACAAAGGAAATTAAAAACACACCATTACTCTTAATTATGATATACAAGAATGTTTATTATGATATACAAGAATGTTTATCAAAGCACACAGGCAGGAGAAGATTCATACCAAGAACAAAACCCATAAAATAAAGACAGAAAGTAATACACATCCACATCTTCATTTCAGCAAATTTAGATTGCAAATTTAAAGTAAACAGGATCAATGAGCATTACACAGTCACCTCCTCCCCATATTTAGGTCTTATTCTCCACTTTGGAGAATAAGTTGTCCTATGGACAACTATCTTGTCTGCAGCAAGGAAATAAATATTAGTTTCCCAGTTCCTTGATATGTTAAATCGGCCTCATCCTATGAGTCACACCTCATCTGTGAGGTCTCTTTCTGCTCTGTCACTTCAATTTTGACAAATGGATCTTTTCCAGTGGGAAAAAAAAAAAGAAGTCTTACAACACAAAGTTCCTTTAATAAGGAATCTTGTGGCCAGTGGCAGAGCCAGAGCAAGCTCTCCAATGCTCCTGGCTGCCAGTCTGTGCTCACATCCTACCACATTCTCTATATGACAAAAAACCTTCTGCAAAGCCAAAAGACAAAACACTGCCTACAGGAGTATTAGAAAAGATCTACAGCACTTACAAGGTCACTTGCTCACCTTACTACTTTGATCTAAGTGCACAGAATATTTCCTGATTTCATATCACAGAAGACAGCTTTCGCTTTCCTATACTTGTTTTAGTAACCCAGCTCCTAGTATCCAAAAGCAAAAGGAAAACCAAGGTAGATAGAAACTTACTTCAGGGTGAAATCCATGACATGATTCTGGGCGTCTTCTAATCTTCTGCGATTTTAAGCGTTCGCATTTAAGGGATTCATTATGTACAAGGTAGTTAAGGAGATATTTCCTAAGCATTACATTTAAATGTCCTGAGTTCACTGAGTACTTTGAAATGAAGATAAAGAGTTATCTTCCAGCATCTTCCTTTTCCCACTCCTTCAAAAAACCCAAGGTGTTGTGCATTGTCAACACACAGAAAGGAAGGTAATTCTAGTGCTTATGTCCTGGTGATCTTTACTTTAGACCCTCTCATTTGCAGTTACACTGCTAACCTGGCCTTCCAATAAGAAGTCTGCAGTCAAAACACTCCTGGCAACTTCTGATAAATTCTAATTCATATAAGGAAATAAATCCTGAAATACCATACAGCACAGAAAAAGAAGTGCTGCAACTAAAATTGCAATATGTACTTTACCATATACTATGTTTTAACCTTTTTTGAAAGCAGGATTGTGAAACACTTTGAAAGCTCCAATTCGGTCCTAAATTTAAAGCATGTTTATACTGTAGGAAGTTCCAACTTTAGGAGATCCATTTTGAAAATGGATTTACATAGGGCCAAAACTGAGAGATTTCACTATCTAAAAATAGGCATAGTGACATTACAGTACTTGATGATGCATATAATCGTGTTTACTTAATTTGTATTGGCTGTTCTAGATACCTAAAAATGTAAGTAATTAGGGCTTTCTCATTTGGCTCAATTTTAAATAGCAAAGACATCTGATGATGGACTCTTCTCGAGTCATATGAGGTCAGTTTTTGCACATACAAAATTTGCATCTTAGGTCATATTCTGGCAACTTTGCCTATAAAAGGATATACCTTATTTCTATAGGTGCCATGGTAATTGGTGGAACAGAATCACAGAAGCATTCATTGTCTACTACCACCATGAAGAGATTGCTGCTTGGGATTTGCTGGATAACAAAAGACCTGAAAAATAAAAAGAGAACATTTAATGGAAATATTCAAACATGTCAACATCTGTGTTATATTCAAAAACCTCACTGCCTCTATATGTCATACTATATATCTACAACTTGCAGAAGGAGAGAGTCTTGAGCACTGCTTTCTCAGTTCATAAGATGCTGGTGTCCATGTCGAGATGCACATGATACTGAAAAGTACCCGGGTATAGCTGCATACTGCTGATATGCTAAAGCTTTTCACCTGGAGCGGGCGCACGAGTGAATATACGTATTTTTTTTATTTCAATACTGAAACTGTGCTCCATAATGAATGCCCAACTACGTAATTATGAGCTGGAATTTTTCAGTAAACATGAAACAGATCTGAAAAATCTCTTTTCTGAAAAATCTGATCTGAAGGTTCCTTCACAGCCAGATACTGCTAGCTCATGGTCCCCAACTTTTGCCTCTAAATCACATTTACCCTGGATCTTGTATGAAACAACATGAACTCCTGGAAGAGATCTCTGCTTTCATCTGGCCTCCTGAGAGCTATTACATCACCGAGCCAACAAAACAGAGATTAAGCCTCAAAATCCTCCTAAGTGAGAAGATTTATTTTAGAATAATGACGATTATATGGTACTAATATGATGATAACTCTGCACCACATTTAAATTAACACAAAGTAGGCAACTCAGAAGGATATGAAGGAATAAAGACAGATGTTGCACATAAGAAGGACAGCACCCAATGGGAGACCAGGGAAAGACCCCACAGGCAAAGCCCAATGAACCTCACTATTTCAATGGACTCGAGGCTTAAGCACACGCCAGAGGGAGAAAGTGGAGCGAGAGTAGGCCCTGCTTAGCCCTTTCTCCAAAATTCAGGGCACATTAGAGACAAAGGCTTTATGGCTCAGACACAGTCCTTATTTTAGGACTTTATGTCAGAATTTACACATATTGATAAAATATCTACAATAGAGAATATCACAGACATCTGACACTTCTAGGAAAGAGGTTCTTTTATCCACGTAGCACATGGAAGCGTACAGATTGCTAAGTGAGAGTTTGAGCACCAATAAAATGTGGAGAGAAACATATTTTCCCTCAGACATCTTTTTTTAAAATACATATTGTTTTACTAAAATAACTCCCCATTTTTTTCCAAAAATCACAGAAGATGAAATACTGGAAGGGGTGTAGAATATTTGAACACAGCTTATGAAAAAACATAATTGGAAAACCCGCTGTAAAATGTTGCCAATGGAAAGATTAAACACTTTTCAGTATTTTTAAACTTACTGAACCTCCATTAAAATTACACTTAGAGTGATCTGCAATATGTTAGCTTTATGTTTATACATGAAATATACATTTACAGCATAATGTAAAAGGCTGAACTTTATAAATGTACCTACAAACAGCTGGAGCATGTAGCAAGACTGACATCATTGTAATGGAGCATCTGTGGCTTTGCGGATTTGTGTGTGGGAGAAATGGGGCCAATAAAAGGAAAGGAGGGAAATTCTTTAACACAGAATAACACCAAAATTGTACAGCATGAAATACCGCCCCCCAAAAAAAATTATGACTAAAAGATCTAACCCCAAAGGACAGAAAAAAAATATTTAATTTTATTCTTAGAAATTGGCACAACTTGGATTTTATACATTCTAAAAAATATTTTTATCATATTTTTAAAACTAGCTCAGAAAGGGACCTGAAAGACAAAAAGTGTTGACATAATTACTGGTTGCTAAATGATTTATGCTCTTTTTTGGGGAGCAGGCAGTGAGAACTCTTCTCCTATGGCTGAAGTCTGCCTGACCCAAAGTCCTTTCATGCTAGTTCCTTTTGTGGCTCCCAGTGAACATTGAAACCTGTGAGAAAGCGTGTGCCAGATAAGCAGGCTTAAAGGCAATTTTTCACGAAAAGTGGGCCCACTGGCCATGGTATTCCTGTTTTTTAATCCACTTCTCTGGTATGGCATACAATCTCTGCAGTGCGGGATATTGCTTTCCCAAAGAAGGAAGAAAGAAAAAGATTTGGGTGCTATGATTTGTCCCAACTGAAAGAAGAAAGTGCTTTAAGTCAGAATGAAGTTTTCACTAAAGAACTATGATGCTGAGCAGATACCTGCCTGGCTTCCTTGACTATATGAATAAGGTGCTCTAAAAAATATTGCTAGACCCTGATAATTTGGGGTATTCTCTGTGTTCCTGGATTTATGGAAATTATGATCTAAAGGAACTGCAAGAAGAAACACAATCAGTTAAAAGTTTTAAAAAACCCCTTTCTAGGTTTGTAATTATATTATAGACATTATATTATTATAGGCAATTATATTATAGCCATCTACCAATTACACTGGTTCAATTTGCCAAAAAGTGAATATACAATCTATATAAATCTATACTCTACAGTCTATCAACTCTAGATGCTTCTGAGGTCCCTAACCTTGTGGCAATTGGCATAAGACATATGACTGTCATTTAAAGGGCCATAAAACAATAAGCCTTTTGAGGACTGACATGCCATCATCAAGTGAGGGCAAAGGACTGAGGACAGAGTTTTTTGGGAAAAAATACGTCCAGTTTAGTTTTTATTTTCTCATAGTTGAATGTGCACAAGCCAATCATTCTTCCTTCAGCTGCTGTAATTTAAGATCATTTCATAGACATGAGGTATTTTGACCCTTTTCCATGAGCCATTAAGCCTCACAGTTGCTCTGTGACTAGCTGGGTGTTTGCACGGTCCTGCCTCCGTGCCCAGGCAGGATAAAGCAGCACCGCTGAGCTACAGTGCTTCTGCTGGCATGAAATACAGTTTCCAAGGCAATGTGCACGGGCCTCTTTCACAATCATTTTGTGGGTACGTTCATATCAGCAGGTCTCAGCTACTGAATGTTCACGGAATTAAAAAGGAGCATAAACACAGTCAGAACAATCAGACAATCAGTAACAGTCTTTTAAATACTGAAATATTCAACCAAAATGCTCCATTGCATGTGTCAAGACTTAAACTGCAAGGCAGAAAAACAAAACAAAACAAAAAAGCTGAACAGCTTCCATGGCTGCACTGGGAAATAAAAAATGTTGCTCACAAAGTAACAAAAATGTTCTTGTCTTTTAAGTAAGTTCCCCTGAGAGCCAATAAAGTTTATAGTAAAATAATCATTTCTGAACTACCTGAGGGCTTTGGCTGTCATTTGTGTCCTGGCAATATGGGAACATCAGAGACAGTGTAAGGGCTTTCATTGAAATCTATTAGCAGTTAAACAGTCAAAAGAAAGCCTATGTTTAATCATGTATGTTTAATATTTATGAAGAACGTTTCAAATTTAAAGGGTAAAACTCTTTTTAAGTAAGTCAGGTACTGTAAATCTTTTGATTTGAACCTTCTCCATTACAGCACTATCATCACCACCATTTCACAGTGATAGCCCAGAGAGCACCTTGCATACTTCTCCATATACAAGGCATAATTAACTGCTGTGGTTCCTGCTATATTGAAGCCACATTGAGTCAATAAGAACCTTATTAATAATTTCTGCTCCACCTTTCATCCATTCCTCAGCTGGTTTGGTTTATTTAAAGTGCAGGTCCAAAGGCTCAGACGAGATGTGAGCACAAGCTGCCCCTTCACTTGGCTTTCAAAGAGAAGATGAGGAAGGAAGAAATTTAACACTTGAAGGGGAGAGAGAGAATAAAAAAATCTAGTTATGTCAAACATTTTTGTTAATCAAGAGAAAAATTAGAATAGAGAGGAAACCTGTAAGAAAATCTGCGCTTTGAGGCACAGCATTTACCTCTTTCTCTCTTCGCTATTTCGGCTTCAACCCATCTTAAAATATTTGCACGAATTCCATACAATTACGTTTGAAATAAACAGCTTCATGTCTTATATGAATATAGTAAAAAAAAACCTGTAAATATTTAGTAAAATATTTCTTGAAATTTAACTTTTCACTGTGGAATGAGACAAATTTATCGGACAACTTAAATATCACACAATTCTGTAAGTCCCTTATTTTCATCAGTGCTTAATGAAGGTTGGTGCTTTGCTAGATAATGGAGTCACAAGGGGCAAAATCAGGATATGTCAGGTTCAGTGTGGGGTCTCTGAAATGCTGCTGGCTTCAGTATTTATTTCCTACCATAGCTGGGATTACAAAGCCAAAGCAATTCAATTCCAAGCATGCAAGGGATGTATCCTATCCAGCTAAACCAACTCACCCTTTAAGCTCTTTACTCTCCAGTGTTTAAATACAACATCTCTGATCAGAGAAAATCAATATTACTGTTAAGCAACTTACTCTTTGTATCTCCAGAGACAACCTATTTCTTTGTCTCTTGGTACTAATTTTGGACAGGACGCAAACTGCACACCTCAGACTATTGCAACCAGGGCTCCCAAATGGCATCACTTCTTGGGCACCTCCACAAGACAACTTTCCTTTCCCTGGCTTGGGACCAGGCTGCCCCTTGCTGCTATCCAGCAACCTCTTCCCCTTGCCTGGCAGAACAGCAGATATATTTTTGGTGTGTCTGTGTGATTCTGTGTGATTTTTGGAGGACTTGAGTATGGCGCCAGCATTAAAACCAACTCAACTTATTTTAAAACACTGCTGAGCACTTCTAGTTAAAAATCAATTCCTGTTTTGTGACATAAATACTGCACTCTCGTGCATTGTTTTAAACCACACACTTTCAGGGGTAAGGATTACTGATCTATATGGAGTATTTTACAAGCAACTGATACTTTTTTCAATTTTACAGAAATATGCTTCCATTATATTCGTGCTAATAATGGCAGATGCTAAATGCTAACAGTGGGGTATGTGGTCACAATGAACACATGGCTTCTATGGGCTTTTAATTCTATAAACTTCTAAATGACTGTTCAGATTCATATTTAATTTCACATTTGTGAGCTTTAACAGCCTGATTTAAGGAAAAAATACACGTATTCCTTTTTTTTTTTTCTCTAATGGCTGTAGGACCTCTTTTACACTGTTACT